CCCCCCCCCTTGCCCCCCTCGCCCGTAACTTTTGATGACGTGTGGCCGTCGCTCTTTCTTGGTAAACGAGCTCCAACGTCGTCGGGACCGACAGCAGAGACGGTGGCTCAATTAACCTATGATCTCCTTAGCCGAGCTCGTCCCGTCCCGTCCGACGCGCGGGTACCCTCTCGTGTACGCTGCGCGCTGGCTCCCCGCCTCATGTCGGTACTCATTTCCTCGCGCCTCTCCTGTATACCCTGCACCTCCTGTAGGCTACTCCTGGGCCGTGGCCGCCCGACACGTATGGTTATGACCAGTGGATGACCACGCCTGACGCCGAATGACACTGCGATGAGCTCAGACAATCATCGCGCATAACACACGCAGCCCCTCCCCCCTCACCTCCTGTCCTCCACGCGGAGCCCGATCGCATTGGTGTGCGGCGGCGTGCGATGACGGTACCCGACCTTGTTTTCTCAATTTCCGATCACACGACGTGCTGCTCCTGACCAACCACAATAACGCATCAACGTAGCACCAAAGTGTGATGGAAAAAGTCTGCGATATATATCACCGCGCGGCGCCTTCCTTGGGAACTTATACAGGTGTGTGGTTTTGTCGCAGGGGCTTCCCCCGTCGCCGATCCCTTCCCGCAGGACGCTGCTGCGCCGTCGCCGCTCGGCCTCCTGTCGAGCTTCGCCAACCCCACGCTCGCGATGCAGGCCCCGGGCGAGGAGGAGAGTCCCGGACGCCCGATCGGTCCTGACGTGGAGTTCCATGTGCACACCAGGTAGGCCCTAACTGTTCACTCAGCTGACATGGCGCAACTTGGTTTTGAAACGACGCTACATCTCACCTCTCGCAGAACATTAGACATCACTCGGATGCAGAGATGGTCTAATTTCAGAGGCAAGGTGACCCCTTTAGGTGACCCTCCACTCAGGAAAATGAAACTTTGAAATTTCCCGCGGCTTTGCGTGTGCCTTGTTCCCCTCCGATCAGCTCTCCAGTTCCACCAACTGTCTGTCGTCCACCTCTATTTGTAACTACTCACTGTCAGGACTCAAATATATGATTCTGTAATTCATGATCGAAAATTAATTTGGATTCTTTTCACAGGAGCGATAACTTCCAGAAATTTTGTTTGTTAGTTCCCATTTATTTGTCGACCTCTTTGCCCTCTTTATCGTGTACTGTTGGTTAAGCTGTCGCATGCCTGCTCTCCAAAACAGTCAACACTTTCCAAGTGGAGTATTTACCCATTCAATTTTTTTTAAATTTTAGCTCCATACATAACAGAAAAACTAATTTTTCAATACTTAATTCACAAAAAAAATTACACTTACTTCGATAGTATATCTGCGGTTTGTAAAACAACGGCTCAATTTGATGTCGTCAGGTTGTCTAGCCTCGCAGCGAGTCGAAGTTAGTTCTGTCTCTCTCGCTCCGGCTTCGTTCGTTCGTACTTATCTCCTCGGCGGCCATTTCCTCTCAATAATCTGCCTTGGACAACCGCAATATTGCCGACATAAACAACTTTCATCTAGAATAGAAAGAACATCATCGAAAAGAGCGCTCGAAATGGCCTCTCTCCCTAGAAGAATTATCAAGGAAACGCAGCGTCTTCTCCAGGAGCCTGTTCCGGGCATATCGGCAGTGCCCGATGAAAACAACGCAAGATATTTCCACGTAATCGTCACTGGTCCCGAAGGTTCTCCATTCGAAGGTGGATTATTCAAACTGGAGCTATTTTTACCCGAAGATTATCCTATGTCCGCGCCTAAAGTGCGATTTATTACTAAAATTTACCATCCTAATATTGACCGTTTGGGAAGAATTTGTTTGGACATCTTAAAGGACAAGTGGAGTCCAGCACTTCAAATTCGTACCGTACTTCTGTCTATTCAAGCTTTGCTGAGTGCTCCCAATCCAGATGATCCTCTGGCCAACGATGTAGCTGAACTGTGGCGTGTCAATGAAGCAGAAGCCATTCGCAATGCCAAGGAGTGGACCAGGAAATACGCCATGGAAGACTAATAGCCCTAGTTTTGCGGCAGCTTCTCCTCTTACTGCTGGCATGAACTATTGTTTTATTTTCCTTTTTTTTTTTCCTGAGAGGAGGCTTAAGTGTGAAAGTGCGAATGAATGAATGAATGTATGTCTGAAAATGTGTGTTAGCGTGAGTTATCTTATTGTTAAGTTCAGTCATGTATCTTCGTCAGTGAGCTACTCGTCATCATCTCTCACTGCTTGTATGTTATTTTTTAAATAACATCTGTGTTTATGACACTTTGGAACAAGCAAACATGTGATTTAAAAGTAATGTTTTGGTGGAATTTGTTTGTGTTATCAAACAGGTTGCGTAGCAATCATACATAGCTTGATAATGATATTAACTGCAGAATCCTATGATTTTTGTGTTTTTATATGATGGAGTGAAAAATATTGTAAAGTGTATATTTCTGTCTACTTCAGAGACAGTATATGAAAAATTCTGTTTTTTGCTTCAACTATGTATCTTAACTTAATTTACCTATCACTTTGAGGTCAAACCCGGTGAATCCTCAAGTGGTGGCCATTAACTCTACCTCAACTCCTGTGGATCCTTCCATTGATCTTGTGGTCATCCTTCATGGCTTTACTGGCTCAGTTTCCAGTACATCTGTCACCCTCATTCGAGATGGTAAATGTATTTTATGTTATATCTCATTTCTTTTGTTAACCTGTACAAAATTTGTCCTCGGATTGTTATATTGGCAATATATTTTCTTCCAAAATTTTTCTTGTATTTGAATTTCCTGTCCTCTTAAAAGTATATTTAATCACCATATTATTTTCATTTTCTGCAGCGCTGCTGTTCAAACAGAATATTACTGTTGTTGCGGTTCAGTGGGCTAACTTAGCACGTGGCCCATGGTATGATTTGGCTGCAGCAAATACTTTATTAGTAGCACAACACCTGTACCGCTTGTTATTAAATCTAGAAGAAAGTGGACTTGACCTGATGCGAGTTCACATAATAGGATTTAGTTTGGGCGCCCATGCTGCAGGCATTACTGGTTCTCTGCTTAATGGGCGTCTTGGAAGAATAACAGGTATTTCAGCTGAATAGAAAATAGAAAATTTAGCTTAATGAGGTGTTATTAACACATTGGCTCTGATTGTAGGATTGGACCCAGCTCGCCCAGGCTTTGAAAAGGTTAACAATACTGGGCGTCTTGATGCAAGTGATGCCAATTTTGTTGTTGGATTGCATACTGGTGCTGGGTTTGTTGCCATGTCTGAAGCTGTGGGACATGTTGACTTTTACCCAAATGGTGGCAGTAAGCAACCTCATTGTCAGACTGAAGATATTCCACGTGAGTGTCAAAATTAATCTTATACTTGAAAGCATTTGTTTTGTTGACACGAGTATTGTCAAGAAAGTTAGAAATTAGTATCTGATAAGTATTTGATGATTAGATAAATTAGTATTGTGCTGATTAGTAACTTTCTTCTTGATCTTTGCTTTCAGTTGTTTGCAATCACTTCATGGCCTATACTTATTTTGCTGAATCTATCTACAACCCTGAGGCATTTCCAGCGCACAACTGTACGTCGTGGACAGACTTTGATAATGGACTTTGTGACACCAATGATGTGATTCCTATGGGATATTCTACCCCTAACTCGTTAGTCTTGTACTCACTCTTTTTTTGTGGCAATGTGTTCTTTTTTTATCTATTACTTTAGTTATCTCTGACTTTGTATGCAGGTCAAAAGGGCTTTACTTTCTTCGAACTAATGCTCAAGAGCCCTATGGCCTTGGTCAAGCCAATCGCAGAGTGGACCTTGATATCAGCCAATCTGACATCCCATCTACAACTGGAACTGATGACATCGTCGAACCAATGAATCCTGAACTTGCTCCAGCAGGAGGTGGCCACAACAGAGATATTTACTCAGTTGATAACTCAAACAAACCAGGTCTTGAAGAGCAAAATTCCAACGATCTTATTTCATCGCCTAAATCTTTTAGTAGTTCTTGTCAATTGCATTATGAATCAACACACATTCTTTTAGCTCTTTTTGTAGGTTTTCACTTTTCATCGTACTTTTATTATTCATAATCAACAACAAAGATTGTTTTTAATGTGATCTTAAGTTATAGGATTCTGTAATTTTATCTATCCATGTTGTATCTTGTGTATATTGCTGCAGCATTTGTAATTATGATGTAACTGATGTGTAATATTGTGTAATAATATGGCATGTTAGATGCATTGAACTTATATGGGAAAACTGCTTTGTGTTTTGTTTTGTTATGCATTTCAATTTAATTTACCACTAGTACAACACCCATTTATTTATCTTCCTAAAATTTTTGCAAATATTAAGGTTTATTGGAGTTCCAAATTCTTTCCAACGGGGAGGGGAGGGGAGGGGGAAGGTGCAC